TCGCATTCCAAGTGAAGTCTGTGAGGAGTGTGTTCAGTCGAAACAACACAAGAATAGCTTCAGCAAAGATGCAGGAAGGAAGTCGAAGGCAATACTTGAAGTCATATACTCTGATGTATGTGGTCCAATCCAGGTGGATTCGATTGGTGGCAATAGATACTTTGTCACGTTTATAGATGATTACAGTCGAAAGTTGTGGACTTACCTCATTAAGAAGAAAAGTGATGTGATTGAGGTATTTTCCAGATTCAAGTCCATGGTCGAAAGACAAAGTGGTCGAAAGCTAAAAATTCTGAGGACTGATGATGGTGGAGAGTATGTGTCGAAAGAGTTCGATACACTATGTGTAAAAGAAGGGATTGTGCATGAGGTGGTGCCACCTTACACTCCACAGCAAAATGGGATTGCAGAACGCAAGAACGGAACCATCATGAAAATGGTGAGAAGTATGTTGAATGGAAAGCATCTATCTAAAGAATTATGAGGAGAAGCAGTTTCGACAGCAACATATATATTGAACAGATGTCCGACGAAGAAGCTTGAAGGAATCACACCAAGAAAATGTTGGTCTGGTGTCAAGCCTAGTCTCAGTCACCTGAAAGTATTTGGATCTATAGCACATAGACATGTGCCAGATCAGTTGAGAAGGAAGCTTGATGATAAGTCGAATCAGATGATCTTGATAGGATATCATTCGACAGGAGGTTACAAGCTGTCCGACCTGGTGAATAAGCAGGTAGTGATCAACAGGGACGTGATCATAGATGAACTTAAAAAATGGGATTGGACTGAGAATGCCAAGAAGATTCACTGAGAATCTCTTGTGAAGAACCAGCCACTGAAGTCGAAATAGAAGTTCGACAGGAACCAATTGCAGATGAAGCAGGTTCAAGCAGACCTCGACGAACAAGACACATGCCTGCAAGGTTGCAAGAATGTGTAATTACATCAGATGATGTAGTCGATGAAGAGGGTGAGCTGGTACATTATGCTTTCTACGCATATGTCGAACCAGTCAATGTAGCTGAGGCATTGAAAGATTCGAAGTGGATGAAAGCAATGATTGAAGAGTTGGAGTCCATCAAAGTCAATGATACCTGGTCACTTGTCGAATTGCCACAAAGCAAGAAGGCAATTGATGTAAAGTGGGTTTACAAGGTAAAGGTAAATCCTAAAGGAGAAGTAACTCGACACAAGGCGAGACTTGTGGCGAAAGGATTTCTTCAGAAGGAAGAAATCGACTTCAATGAAGTATTCGCACCTGTTGCTAGAATCGAAACAATCAGGTTGGTTGTTGGTCTAGCAAATATGAACAACTGGCACACATGTCAGATGCACGTGAAGTGTGAATTCCTTAATGGCCCCTTAGACGAAGAAGTTTATGTTGCACAACCAGCTGGGTTTGTGAAACAAGGTGAAGAAAGAAAGGTGTACAGGCTTCATAAAGCCCTGTATGGACTTAAGCAAGCTCCACGAGCTTGGAATAAGAAAATTGACAGCTTCTTAAGGGATAAGGAATTTGTGAAGTGTACAACTGAGCATGGAGTATATGTAAGAAGAAGCAATGGTGAATTGCTTATACTATGTCTCTATGTTGATGATTTGTTGATAACAGGGAGTTACAAGAAGGAGATCAAATATTTCAAACATGATCTGAGTGAGGAGTTTGAAATGTCAGACTTGGGAAATCTCTCATATTTCCTTGGCATCGAATTCTACAAGACAAGTGGAGGTTTGATGATGAATCAAAGAAGATATGCAGGCGAAATACTCAAGAGATTTGAGATACAAGATTGCAACCAAACTTCGACTCCAACTGAGCCTAGATTGCAACTGTCGAAGGATTCAGATGAAGATGATGTCGACCCAACCCAATACAGAAGACTTATTGGGCCACGTAGATACCTTTGTCACACAAGGCCTGACTTAGCATACAGTGTTGGTATGGTAAGTAGATTCATGCAGAAGCCAAAGGTATCACACCTAGCAGCAGCGAAGAGGATACTGAGGTATCTGAAAGGAACTCTCGACTATGACATTTTATTTCCAGCAGCCGATGAAGGAAAAGAATGCAAGTTAGTGGGATACACAGACTCCAGTTGGTGTAGTGATGTTGAGGATCAAAAATCCACAGTTGGGTACGTGTTTATGTTAGGTGGTGCACCAGTTGCTTGGAATTCGAGAAAGGAACCAGTAGTGGCATTGTCATCATGCGAAGCAGAATATATAGCTGCTTCTCTTTGTGCATGTCAAGAAACTTGGATGGTGAACTTGGTCGAAGAAATCACAGGGAAGAATCATGGAGCAATTACCATGAAGATAGACAACATGTCAGCTATCAACTTGGCGAAGAATCCAATAGCTCATGGTCGAAGCAAGCACATCGAAATGAGGTTCCATTGTCTTCGAGAGCAGGTAGCAGAAGGGAAGATGAAATTGGAACACTGCAGAACTGAGAATCAGATTGCAGATATCATGACGAATGGGGTGCAGGTCGAAGTCTTCAGAAGACTAAGAGTCATGATGAATGTAGACAATTTAGACACAATGAATTAGGTGGTGTCTTAAATGTAATTCATTGTTTTGATTTGATTTGATATGATTAGATTTTATTTGAATATTTTGGCCCTTTTATGTTTTGGGCTTTTGTAAACCTAAAACTATAAATAGGGTGCCTTGCTTTGTATTCAATCATAACATAGAACAGATTTCACAGTTGCAGTGTTTAGCAAGTGAAAGTTCTATAAGCAATAAGAAATCCCACAGTTGTGGGTAACACATTCTCTCCAAATATTTTCTCCTCTCATTCTTCTCTTTCTTGTGTGTTCTTCTTTTCTTTTGTTGTTCTTGATAATTACTTATTATTCTCATTACTATCATATTGTGGGTTTGTTCATCAATCTTGAGATCAAGATTGAAGGGAATTCTTCATAGGGTGTGAGGTGAATTTCCAACACTAAATGCATAGTTGTTGAGTTTGTCAGAAAACATAATCAAAGCAACCTCATTCAGGCTACTCCATTGACATGTTAGTGGTCACAAATTACAGGTCTACCAATGTTGGGTTTAAGGAGTTTATCGTGTAAGTTTGCTTGCTGGTTTTTTTATATGTTAAATGAAGTGCATATCAAACACTCACCATCATCTAACAAATTCCACAATCGTCTAACCATCCCTCATCTGCTACTTATTTCGTCGGAACACTATAAACAACAACAAAACTACAGCCACAGTGAACCTTGCAAACCACACACCTTGCAACTATGAAGCAATGCACAACCACCATTCAAACCTCTACTCACTTCTCTGATCCAGTCAACAACTTTAACGAAAACATCGCCACCATACCAAGCAGATCACGACCATGAGTGAGGAAGAACAGAGGGAGAAAGAGGAAGAAAGAGAATGAAAGGGAGAAAGAGAGAGAAAGAGGAATCAAATGAGGATTAACAGTGAGAGAAAAAGAGAGAAGGTGAGAATGAAAGGGAGGTGGAAGAGAGAAGGGTAAGGTTTCCATGACTTTAGGGTGGCAAAGTTACCCTGACTTTGTCTGTTCTCTCTCCTATTTTACCTTTTTGTCTTCATTTTAATTATTATTTATTTTATCTTTTCCTGCTAAAACACCACAACTTGTACTAAAGTTACGGTAACTTTCGAGAAATAAAATTACTTTATCCAATTGTAAGAGAGAATGGTGTCAAATGAGTGTTGTTTCTGAACTTTACCCGCATAGGATGATTGAAAATTGAAATGGATTTCCCCAAAGCATGAGCCATTTAACATAATAGGACAGTTCTATTAGTAAGTTATTTTCTATTTAGTAAATTACCATAAAAAGACATTTCTAAGTGTAGTTTAAATTTGATTAAAGGGTATTTTAAGGTGTTAATGAGCTACTTCATTATTAGTTAAGTAGTTGATTTTTTGCTGTGCTATTCAAACAAAAAAAATTAGTTGAAAAATGACATGAGTTAAAGTCAAATTGAATCAATTCATTTTTGCATTTTAAATCAGATCAACGTGAGCATGAATCGATTCATTTTTCCTTTTGAATCGGATAAACCATTACATTTGACTCAATTTCTACTAAGTGGGACAAATGATTATTGAGACGCTTTCATGAATCGATTCACACTTTCTTTGAATAAATTCAAGCAAGTCAACTACTTTGCATCGAGTCACACTTTGGCTTGAATCGAGTCAAATGACCTTTGCACTTTGAATCGAGTCAAACATGTTTTGAATTGAGTCACAAATGATTGACTTTAGTCAACACTTCAAAAATGCATGGAAAGCCTATTTTTCATGTTAGTGATGAGAGATTCAACAAGGAAACTTGTCGATTTTCAGTAACAGTGCTGAGCACATGTCCCATTGCTAGCTGAATTGTACGTAATTAAGAGATAAGACACGCTTCAAGTCATGATTAACAAGTAGATAGAAATTTTCTATTTCTTTCACGTTTCTCCCACACTTTTATGCCAACCTGTCTATTATTTACTAAAACAAAATAAGCCAATGGGACCATGAAGAGGTTAGCCACAATAATTTATAAACGTGCACTGTGTAAAATTATTATTCATTCATGTGGGTGGCTAGTCGCTTCATAAACCTCGTGTAACAAATTGGATATCCTAATGTCCATTCAACCAAACCTTAGCCGTTGGATTATATAAATCATATACCATACAGAACTGCTATGGATTCAACAGGCTCTGTCACTTGTGAACATGTTTAGGCCACATTTATTCATCACATGATGCTATAAATATTCTGTGCCATTTTTTCCACATTAAATGACGTGCTACATTTTATAAAAATAAATAAAAATTAAAGTTTAGACTATGATATGATATCAGACTTATAAAAGGTCCCATATGAGCTTGCACAATTTGATCAAGTCAATAACCTTTAAGGTCTTTAATTCATTTCACCAACTGATTGGATCATAGCAAAACATTCCATAAAATATCAGTTTCCCAAAAGAAAGAACAAAAAAAATGGTAGCTGTTTTCAACAAAGAGCTATTGAGTTGGTACCTTATCACCCTTAAACTCAGAGAAACCTTAGAATCAGGGATTCCGCCGTCGTCTCGATCGATTGAGTTACCTCAGCAGCAGCAACAGAAGCTTGAGCATCAACCTGCAGAATCATTGCAGGTTTTTCTTAACAACCAAGATGTTGAAAATTTACAAGAGGAAGCAAGCGCACCGGAATCGGAATGGGTGATCTCCATCAAGGAAAAACTCGAGGAGGCGAATCAAGACGATGTAGTGAGTTCGTGGACCAAGCTATCAATCTATAAAATCCCTCATTACCTTAGAGACTGTAGTGGTGACGACAAAGCATATGCGCCACAGATTGTGTCTATAGGACCTTACCATCATGGCAAGAAACGTCTTCGACAAATGGAACGTCATAAATGGCGTTCCATTAATCATGTCCTTAAGAGGACGGAACATGACATTAGGCTTTATCTTGATGCGATGCAAGAGATGGAAGAAAGAGCGAGATTGTGTTACGAAGGAATGGTCGGGTTTAGCAGCAATGAGTTTGTGGAAATGTTGGTTCTTGATGGTTGTTTTGTGCTTGAGCTATTTAGAGGAGCTACACAAGGGTTCAAGGAACTTGGTTATTCGAGAAACGATCCTGTTTTCGCGATGCGTGGATCGATGCATTCGATTCAACGAGATATGATCATGCTAGAAAATCAGCTTCCTCTTTTCATATTAGATTTGCTTCTGGGAATTCAGCTTGGTAAACCGGATTTGAAAGGACTTGTTGCGAATCTAGCACTCAGATTTTTTGACCCTTTAATGCCAACAGATGAACCATTAACAAAAAGTGATATAAATAAACTCGAATCAACATATAGAAAAAGCACTACCAGTGACACCTTTGATCCCTTATCCGATCAAAGCGGTCTTCACTGTCTCGATGTATTCAGGAGAAGCTTATTGCGCACGGGACCTCAACCAGCAACTAGAATATGGATCAAGCGCAGGTCGAACGCGAATAGAGTAGCAGACAAACGGCGCCAACAGCTGATACATTGTGTCACTGAGCTAAAAGAGGCTGGAATCAAGTTCAAAAAACGGAAAACCGATCGCTTCTGGGATATTAAATTTAAAGACGGAATTCTGCGAATTCCGAGACTCTTGATTCATGATGGTACAAAATCTTTGTTTCTAAACCTCATTGCATTTGAGCAGTGTCATCTTGATTGCAGTAATGACATAACATCTTATGTTATCTTCATGGACAATTTGATTAACTCTCCGGAAGATGTTGGGTACCTTCATTACCACGGGATAATCGAGCACTGGCTAGGCAGTGATGCCGAAGTCGCAGACCTTTTCAACCGGTTATGCCAAGAGGTTGTGTTTGACATCAATAACAGTTACCTTTCTCCATTATCGGAGTCTGTGAATAGATACTATAATCATAGATGGAATACTTGGTGTGCAAGCTTGAGACACAACTACTTCAATAACCCTTGGGCTATTATCTCTTTTGTTGCTGCTGTTGTGTTGTTGCTACTGACTTTTGCACAAACCTATTACAGTGTTTATGGATATTATAGACCAGCACAGTAACTGGTATACAGAAAACTTTGAAGGCTCTTTCATTTCACATTTATCAATACAACTTTTTATCATTGATTCTTTCTTAAGTTTGAGATATTATGTGGTTATGTTAATTTCAAGAATGAAGACTAGAGATGAGTTTGGATTTGAAAGGTTGAAGAGTGAAGACTTGAAGTATTTGTTATTTGATTCATTTTGGTACAGAAGATAATGGCTAGTGAAGTGACTATTACTGTTATACAAATTCCAGCTGTGATGAAATGCTTATCAAACAACCACAGCTTAGTTGCATAAAAAGCTTTTATTTCATATTCTACTACTGTAATGCTTTGTTTAGTTTAGATTTTTGAGCCATGAATAATGTCTTTTTGAAGTATAATCCAACTAGTGTGTATGTCCGGTTATATTGTGAAAAAGAAATTGATTTTACTTAAAAACTTAGTTAACTAATGTTTATGTCTAAAAATTGGAAGTGATTTCAACAACATATTTTGAAGTTAGTTAACATAGAAGTTAGTTAACATATGAAGTTAGTTAATAAGGTGTATTGTTGTGGACATTTTTTAATATCTCTAAATACGTTTTGAATTGGGAGTCTATCTTAACTTTCACAACTTTTTGCAGGAAAGGAATCGGTAGAGTATAGGGAGAAGGAACAATAATAGGTGCTTCCTTCTCTACCTCTTCAACAACCTCCCTTTCGGGTGGTGTCGGTGGATTTTTCTCAATCTCTACTCTTTTCTCACTGGAATTCTCCTTAACCTTATTATCACTTTCCTTAAGATTTTCGAATTATTTTTCACTATTGGTTGTTACAACACTCACATGTCTCTCAGGAGAGAGTCCTAGAGATTTTTGTGCAAGCAGGGAGATTTGAGTCTCCAATGTCTTGCTGTGAGTTGTTAGGGAATCGACCACAGTGCAGTTGCCTAAGGTTTTCATAAATGTGGAGATTTGAGTCTCGTCATTCTGGAGAGTTTATGCCGCCATAAAGCGCTCCATCATAGATTCTATCCTAGAGTGAGTAAGTGTCGCATTGAATTCCTTCATTAGTATTTCAAGGTTGGACTTATGGAAATCTTGCGATTTCTCAAAATACTGCGAGTGGTAATCGTAGAGGAAATTTGGGTGATACATAGTAACTAAAACAAGAGTGACTTAGTCTATACGGTGCAACAATGAAATCACAATATTTACTGTTGGTCCCCAACAACGGCGCCAAAAACTTGATGATCTACAAGTGCACGGAAATATCGAAGTAATATAAAAGGTTGTCGAACTCACAGAGACCAAATTCAATCTATCGTTATCTATTGCTGCTATGTAAAGCTAAGGCTAATGAAATATGGATTTGGGGAAACTAAAATTAGAATTAAAACTAAATTAAGATTTAGGAAATATATCAGAAAAGAGAGGCCGGAATGTGAATTTCGTGCACCTTGAAGACCCTGTAATTCATTGGCGTTTGTTTTATGTTAAATTGCTTTCAGTAGAAAGTACCAATTTAAAAACTTTATCTCACACGCTATTGATTAAAGCTACACTCCCTAACCATGATATTTTGCTATCGCTCGCCCATTTCAATTAAGAAGCATTTTTTAAAAATTAAATAAATCATAATTGATGCCTAAAGCGCTCTCGTTGTATTTAGGACCAATGCCCAATTTTCACTATCCGGTTTGAATCTCACACTCTTGCGCTATCGATTCGAGCCTTAATTGTTTTTCACTATCGTGCAAAAACGTTTGAATTAGAATTGAAAACCAAAGCCAGAAGAATAATTTGTGAACAAGTGTAAAGCCAACTTATTATCGAGTCACGTCGGAACGATGGTCCTCACATATCGGACTCTAGAAAATTAGCCGGACATAGTTGCATAAACAAATAAAATTTTTTGGGTATTTGATTTAATCGAAAACATAATAAGCGGTTTAAAATGATTTAAAGCGATGTTTGCAAAATAAGATAAAGTGATAAAAGATTAAAACAATAACAATGGAAAGACTTGTAAAGCAAAATATAAATGGCGGAAGATAAAAGAAGCAGAATTATAAATGGCGGAAAATAAATTGCAATAAAAGTAAATGAACCTGAAATAAAACTTGAATGTAAAACTGAATAATGAACTTCAAATAATGGCAGTAAGATTGTTTGATCCAAGCAAGTTAGACAAATTATAGGCCTAAACACTAATGGTGGAGTAGTTTTTCGATGTGAGACTATGAACAAAACTTCTGCGTACAGAACTTGGATCCTTTGAGATTATGAATCCAAGGTCTATTTGTAGAAGGAATTTAGTTTACTAACTTCCATAGATCATTTATGAGTCATAAAGAAAGTGGGAGAAACCTCCAAAGTACTGTTGTAGTGGGCGGTTACTTTCACGTTTCTGATGTTCATGGCGAACGCCATGGCCTTAAGTTGTGGATGACGTGGCTGAGAGGTCCATGGCGAACACCGTATATCAGAAAATGGCAAACTATGCACTTTTTCTTCATTTTCTTGCTCTTTTTCCGGTTTTCAAGCACGAACGCTCTTATTCGACAAATACCTGAAACATGAACATAATACGGCATATTACAATGAAAAACAAGTAAAACGACACTAAATTGCATGTGAATCGGTCGAAATATACGATACATTTTCGCATTATCATGGGGTCATCTGGAGTGGACCCAATAATGGACTTACACTGAAGGTTTTGGAGGCTAGGCACCTGTTCAACCCACCTCTTGCCATATCAACCACCTTGTTCTTTAAAGCTCCTCCATTGGCTGAAGATGACATTGTCTTTAGGTGCATTAAATCATTTTTCAAAGAGACATCATGTGATAGATATGGTTTGCGATTACAACATATATTAAAAGCATTCCAATGTGTGGAGAAGGTTTTGTTATAGCAAAAGATCTTTTATTGCAATTACTTTAATTGTAAACTTATGGTTGATAGGAAGGTGTTTGATGAGTTTGGTTATTACCTCTGCACCCTTGCGTCGTTATTAAATCTTAATGGTGAGAAACGAACAATTGATGTGAGGTTTTATTTGGAGGCGATTTGTATCCAAGGTTGATATGAAAGCGGTCAATAAAGATGTATCAGGATATTTCAATGAGTTCTAATTTGTACGTAAAAGATACTCTTGTCCACAAATATGGATGTGTTAATCAGGTACAATAAATATGTTCTCACTACATATGCTTTATGCTGCATAACTTGTTTATCATCACCATGAACCTACTTTGTCGCAAACAGCTGTGCATTTAACCTCTTTAGAAATATAAATCTAACATGACACCCTCGACTGTCTCTTATCTCTTTTAGGGCATCATCTGACTCAATTCTCAAATACTTCACCATCGTCACCAGTGCATCAGCTTTGGTAATCTTGAGTTGTCTAATAATCTCCCTCTGATCAAAAGATGCAGCAGGCATGATACATCAATCAGTGCGATGGACATCTCACCAAGTAGAAGATGAAAAAGATGATGTCTCAAAGTGTCATCTCTCAATGAGCACTGACAACATATTATGGTTAATAGTAGTATAATTGATCATGTATAAATCTTGTAGCTTAGATAGCTTCATTACATCGTGAAACCGGTGCTCATTAAGATGTTGTACTCTCACAATCTTTCGACCATGTTTGATGCATTTTAAAGCATCACGGTGCTATAAAAAAAATTATCGTCAAAATGTTCAAATATTATGACACAGTTGTTTCAAAGAATAAATGCAAATGAATTTTACTTTTCTATCTCACATAGTACATTTTTGTAAGTTATATGATGATACATTTCCTTATTAATTTTTTACAAAAATTAAGATTTATCTCAAATACGAATAAATTTTAGATGAACGGAGTGTGTTCTAAGCTGAAAAAAGTAACCCCTCTAAAAATAGTTATGATTTAAGTCAAATATATTCTGCGATTTTGATGATTTTGATTAATTGATAATATAAAAAACTTTTACACTAAAAGTGTAAATAAATTAAATAAGTAACTAGATTCTAAAGTTATTTTTTTGTTGCTTCAACAAACATATACACCAGATATAAAGGTACATGGAATGGACAACACCAACTTCAAAATACTCCAAAGATACAATAGATTCCAAAGAAAGTGTACTTTCCAAATAAAGGGTACTTGAACATAAGTAAAAAAAAAGAGACAACTTTTCAAGTGCCAGCCATTACCACTGGTTGTATCATGTGACCGTTTCATTAAAATCCAAAATTAAAGTTGGCATAGTACAACTGTTTGGATCCAGTGAAGAAGAGAAGCTTCAAAATATCAGTCTCCCAGGTACTATATTAGAGAAACTTTAATAGATAAAACTTTAATTAAAAAAAAAAAAAGGTGCTAGGCGCTATAAAAGAACAGTTGAGAAAAATGTCAAATGAACATAACCTAAGAGGGATTCCTAAAATCATTGAAATGAAAGAAAAAAGTACAACGGAAAAGACAGTTCAGTGTTAACCCCATTGTGAAATAATAAGGGGATTCTTTCTGCATGCATTCTGTAATTTTTTTCTTATTGTACTATGAATTCAGTGATAAGAGTATGAAATTTACCCACCTATATAGAAAGAAAAACAATAAAAAGGATTTTACAATAAAAAGCATTTTACAGAAGAGTGATCTTCCCGAAGGCACCAAAGAAGTCCAAATAATCGCCCAAGATGGAAGTGAACATCGAGATGTCAAAGTCCATGCTAGACCTCAAAGTAATCTTTATCAGCCACCACGTCAAATGATTTCTCAAGCTGCTAAAACATTCTGAGAAGCTATGTGTAACAAAACTGAAAATATCAGTCCACAGGAAGACTTGTGCTTTCTTCTGCCGATGGTTTCTTTCTCTGATAGTGCTAAAAGTAAAATAGACCAAAAAGGGTTAGTAATAGCAAAAGAGATTTAATCCTTATAACAAAGATCAACACCTTAATCCTTATAACAAAGATCAACACCATCATTAAATCAATAACCACAACAATAATTTTGATTCAATATAAAGCTAAATTACCTGTTTCCCAAATGTGAATGGTACATATCTGTATTTGATCATATGTGATATCTGTTTCCTCATAGTAAGCGTGAACAGAACAACCCAGTAGAAGAGGAGTATTGGCCAGAAGACTGGAATATCAAACGCACTAAAGAAAGTCATCACAAATGCAATGCAAAATGCCTTCGTGATCGAGTACCTGCCCACAAAAGAAAAATAAGCACCTTCAGGAAAAGCAACTTTCTGCAGACTTACTAAGTGAACAAGAAACATATTCCACAACGTAAAAGCACCAAAAAAATGAAAACAACATCATCTAGGTAGGCAGTTTTTGATGCCTAAAAAAATATAAATGTGAAAGATATTGTAATCCAAACTATGGTCTATGGCTATTTGCCTAACAACTAAAAAGCTTATAGTTAACATGAACTAACAAATAACAACTATCTAACATAAGTTATAAGTTATAACCAACTTAATTGAGTAATTTAACACTAACTTCATCTATGAAGCACAGACACCGGACACACGACACCGGTAATAATTCGAAAATAAGTTAACGAACTTAATAACAAGGGTCAGTGTCGATTTCATTTTGGATACAGACTCTGACACACTTTTTCGGCGGTGTTGGTGCTACAAAAAATTTCATACAATGGAGTACACTACAAGATTGTTTTCTAGATCATATAAAACAGTTACAGCTGCCACAATCTATATTGCAATATCAAGGTTTATGATATCGCCATCATCACAACACAATCAAGATGAACACAACATAAACCATATTTGACTGTAATTATTCACAATATGAAGATCATAACAAAACTGTGACCTAAATCACATGAAAATTGTGTAAAATATACCTAAATCATTAACCTAATTGATGTGGAGCAGTGATGTAATTACCAGAACTTGAATTCAGGGAGGCGGCGAACAAAAGGCCGGAACTCATCGGAAGCTCTGGTGGGGAGAGAAGGTCCGTCGGCGGCGAGGGCGGGATCTTCCTGAGGGGAGAGGAACCCGATGAGGAGATTGAGTATGTAAATGCCAAGAGCGTATGAAACGACGTAGAAGCCTTGCAGGAAGTAGACGCGGACGACGTAGAGGAAAGCCAAAACCGAAAACCCTATCCAACGCCGTAGCACGTGCGGGGTGGTTTTGTCGAGCACGTGTTGATATTGTTGCCACACCGCCAATTTTAATCGCAATATCGCCGTTTCCGCCTGGGAAACATCGTCGGCGGCGCCCATTCCACCGGATACTGCTGGTGTCGCCTCCATCAGTTTCAAATTGGATCGGATCGGATTCAGATGCTATTTGTTAAAAAGTAGTAGCAGGATCTCCAACGGGTTTACCGTATATCCAATTTCAGTATGTAAATCTCTTGAATCATCTCATTTTTTTATGCCGTAATTTCCCAAAGTCGTCTTCACATTCGCATTAAATTTAAGGTCAAGTGCGTGTAGTATTTAATTTTTAGTTTCTAAAATTAATGAAAATTTAATCGTGCAGTATTTATTTAATCTTTAGTCTCTAAAATTAATGCAAATTTAATCGTGTACTAGTATTTTTTTAATCTTTAGTCTCTAAAATTAATGAAATTTAATCTTGTGGTATTCATTTAAGGGTAATGCTAACTTGTGCCCCAAGGACACAAGTTAAGAAAGTCACTTATAGTAAATTTGCATTGGAAAAAACGATTTAAAAATTAATTTTATATTTTAATTAAAGTTTGTACACAATTTTCAAGACAATATTTCTTAATTTAGTTCTTATTGTGTCTCAAGAATTGAGGCACAAGTTAGCATTACCCTTCATTTAATAGGTTTAAATGTGTATGTGGTCTTCTTAAAATTTTCAAATTTTGTCTGTAGTCTTTAAAATATTTTTTAAAATAAATTATTTTTTTAAAATTTTTCATCTATATTTTTGTCTCTCAGATAACTTTACAACTAAATTAGTGACAATTTATTACTTAGCGACTGAATTAGACTGTTTTAGTATTAGTGACCAAAAGTGTGAATGAAACATTTTAGGAGGATTATTGTTTGAAGGAAATATTTTGAGAAATTAAAAACGAAATTTGATATATTTAGGAGGAACATAAACATATTTAACCCTATTTAATATTTAGTATCTAAAATTTAATGAAAATTTAAAGGAACTATAGTTGAATGGTTGCGGTGGTTTGTTATTTTCAATCTAGAAGGTTAACATTTTAACATTTAAGTCAGTAAAATAATAAAAAGTAAAGTTTGAATGAGAAATGATTTGAATGTTTAGGAAATGGTATACACTCTTCTTTTACAATGAGAATGGGTTAGTGTTGCACCCCAAAATTTGACCAACAATTATTCATTCATTGAGTGTTAGAAGGTTGACATCTTCATCAGAAGGTTCAAGAGATCCTCAGAGGAAGTGGTTTGAAACCAGGGTTGTGTACTTCACAGTTTGAAAGTTGTGAGTGCCCCTCAGATGATTCTGAGACTTTGAGAATGAACTTGATGTTTTGAGAAAGCTTATGAGATGCCTTGATAGCCTTCATGAAGCCCAGAGAGGTCATTATGCAAGAGTTCAGAAGATTCAACCATGAATGGATGAATTAGGGTTTTGACTGGGTCAACCCTAGACCAGCTGAAGATTTGGAGAAGGTTGAGACCTAATCCAAGGGCCATGGGATCATGGATTGATGTATAGAGATGTTGCAAAGATGATTCCTAGACCAACTCATCATGATTGAGGAGTTTTGAGAAGTTTCAAGTTAGGGTTTCTGAGGATTGTCAGTGAAAAAACCCTAATTTGATCCCTATCTTCCAGGCAGTTTTAGCTCTAGATGTGATTGATATCTCATCTTCCCCATAACATGAATGTTGTAGAGCTTGTCCTAAGCTTTAATTTGAGTGGTGGAAGTCCTTGATAGGAGTTACAGAGCTCAAGTTATGGTTTTGACAAATTACAGGTCAGCAGAGGTGTGTGAATCTGGGTCCTTGAAAGTCACCCAACTTCCAGACAACTTTTGCCCTAGTAGGTTGATTCCTATGGTTTCTTGGTCAACATGAATGTTGAAGAGGATCTTCTTAGCTTTAATTTGAGTGGTAGAAGTCCTTGATTGTATTTGTGGAACTCAAGTTATGGTTTGAACAAGGCAGGGGTATTTTGGTCATTTGTCAGTTATAGGTCATTTTAACCAATGCCTAAAACTCCTATTTCCAAGCCTCAAATGGAAAAACTTAAAACATGAAAGTTGCTCAAAATGTGATTTTAAGTCTAGAAAGAAGGTCACAAATTGTTGAAAAAGCTCATAGCACAAGATTCCATGATTGGTCCAAAATGAACTAAAAAAGGCTTATAACTTTGAAAAGTTGGAATTGAAAAGTGATTTGGGAGATCCACAAATCCAAAATAGGTCATCCAATATATCATTTTGATTGGAAAAACCATTTTGAGAACTTTGGTTTAAGTAGAATTTTCATTTGAGGTTAAAAAAATGAGGTTCCTTTGGAATTTAGTTGCTTGCATAATAAGGCACCAAGGTGAAACTCAAAGGAAATGAACATACAAGCTTGCAATGCATCTAAACACTTCCTAAAACTCATTTAAGGAGAAGTTCAAGTGAAATTGAAGGGCTGTACCAAGGGAAACAAGGATTGGCATATGAGATGAGTTGGAACCAAAATGTCATAACATGATAAATTGAACATCCCATAGGATCATTCCAGAACCTTATAGAAGAGTCTAAACCTCTCCATATAAGGATTATAGCTGGTGCAGGGCATTGGTTGGAGAAGAATAGGTCAGAATTGAAGGATAGCACTTGAATTTTCAAGCTTGCATCAAGAATCAAATCGTGGAATTAAGGAAGATTCAACCTCTACTCTTGCAAACAGAAGCAAGGAGGTGATTCCCTGAGTGATTCCACAAGAGATTGAGGCTTGGTTTGAGCAAATTCCTCATCTGTTCATCAAGAAACCAGGTCTGCCATTTTCTTCTTTACACCCTTAATTATGCGTTGATAGATTGATTTGTTTGCATAGAACTGTAAGGAACAACTAGAGGACCAATTCCTGAAAGATTAAGAGCATTTCATGGAGTTTGAGTTTTTGACTCGAATCTTGAATCACCAAGAACTACTTGTATGTTGAGTGTTAAGATTAGATAATTATGTCAGAATAATGAGGGCCATGAGTAGAGTAAGTTAGTGTCAAGAAACGCAAGAAACAAGGAGGTCGAAAATGGAGTGTTTACTCAAGTTGGTGCTATCGGGTTAGTCAGTAGGAAGTGTTTTAATGGAAACTATCGGTCCAGCTGTGTAGAGCTTGAAAAATGGAGCAACATTGACGTTTACACTTTGGGATTTCATTGAGTAGTGAGAGAGAACCGATGGGAGAAAGGTATTCACGTATGGTGCATCAATGGAAGCTTGAAACCCTAGCTTGTGTCCAAGCTTGAAGACGATACGCTGTCCGTCGGATCCATGCGTTTTAATTGACTAAAAAATGCATCTCACGGTCCAGATTAATTCACGAGATGGAGGGAAATTTAAATGCAGCAAAACGCAGAGTTTAGTGTATGTGGTATCTTGGGCTTAAGTAACTTCGCTGATGACACCCCCCAAAGCCAGCCCACTTCAAAACACGTTGAAGTTCCTTTCTATTCGCACCAGGGTTTTACCCTTTTCTTTTATTTTTTTTAAATTGAATTTCTGATAGTACCTGGGCTTAACGCGTATGCTACGCGCACCCCCACCCTTGAAGCCCAACTGGAATAACACTGGCGCGTATTGCTTTTCAGACCCCCCCTACCCTTTATTCATTTAATTTCTTTTATTATTTCTTTTAATGTTTTCTGTTTTGTTTAATTCATTAAAAATAGATAAAAAATGTTTTTTAATTTCTTCTTTTTTCTATGTGTAGGTTAAAATGTGTAGAAAATTATAAAAATAAAATTGAGATTTTATTTTTAGGTTTAATATTTTTAATAGTTTTTCCAATTAAATAGCTTTTTAATTGTTTCATTTTGATATTTGATTTTGTAGGAATTGTTTTAGTACTTTCCATTAATCTTTTTTACCCATTCTTTTTGGTGCAATTAGATGATTAGTCATACTTCCCCATAGGATTTTTTCTAGATTTTTTAGAATTAATCTTGATTAGTTTAATTAGGGTAGACTTAGGGTGTCCTGATTAGGGTTTAGATTGTGTTTAGGTGATGAATCCCTTTCTTTGATTGTGTTTTATCTTGATTTTTAGGTAGAGACCTTTGTAGATATTATGAGTAGGTGTTGAGGACCCTTGTGAATATTTGTTGAATTTTTCCCCATTAGTTTAGTATTTTTAGGTATTTTCTGAGATTGCCTGATGATTTGGTCTGTTCAGTGGGTTATCTGTTCATCTGTGGGGTTCATTCTGAGGAATTTGATGAAGGGCTTGTGTTGCCTTGAGGATATTGATGGAGAGCATCATGAGGAGAAGCTTGTAGATCAAGATTCAGGGACCCAGAGCTTGGCTGATGCCTTGTCTGTGAGGTTTGAGAGCCTGAAGTTTGAAGGAGGTTCATGGTACTTTCCTGAGGAAGGCACTATGAATGACTTTCATCCTTTCTTCTCACCTCTTTCTTAAGTATCCAATGATGTTGGAGCCAACTCGTGAGTTTAATTTCTCCCGAGGAGGAATGTAAACTGATCACTTGTTGTTGAGCCACATGGGATACAACTCCTAAGTGGAAGCCTCCTAGTACTTTCCTGAGGAAGGTCCTATGAGTCTATTCACTTAGTTCCACTAGTTGATCTAGGATTTCTTAAGTATCCAATGATGTTGGAGCCAACTTGTGAGTTTAATTTCTCCTGAGGAGGAATGTAAACTGATCACATGTTGTTGAGCCACGTGGGATACAACTCCTAAGTGGAAGCCTCCTAGTACTTTCCTGAGGAAGGTCCTATGAGTCTATTCACTTAGTTCCACTAGTTCCAATAGGATTTCCTAAATATCCAGTGATGTTGGAGCCTGCTTGTGAGTTTAGTTTCTCCTGAGGAGGAACGTAAACTGATCACAGTGGTTGAGCCACGTAGGATATGACTCCTGAGTATACACCTCCTGGTGCTTTCCTGAGGAAGACACTATGGGTCTGATTGCTTAGCTCCCTGTCTTTGGTAAGCTTGTTCTGAAGCTTGAAGGCTGGGAATGATTTCTCCTGTTTAGGGTTGTGCTTGAGGGCTTTGCTTTGATTTGATTAGGATCCTGTGATTAGGGTTAGGGTTAGAGAATAGGTGATTCTTTCTCAA